TGCTTGGTCACCCCCAGAGTAAATAAGCTTTTTCTCATGTTCATATGGAACCTCCTGTGGTTCAGTTTGTGACCATTGCTTCTTGTCACCAGGTACCAATAAGAAGAGCCTGTCCCCATTCTCTCTGCACTCTGTTTATACACATCAATAAGATCCTCCCTCAGCCTTCTTTTCTCCAAGGTGAACAGAGATCTACTTCTAGCTCTCTCAGCCTTTCCTCGCAGGAGAGGATGCTCCAGTCCTTTAATTATCTTCATGACCTTTTTATGGACACTGCCTAGTAACTCCACTCTCCAGTAGTTCCAGCTACTCTCTTTATATGTAACTCTACCAAACTCTTTAAGGTTTGTACAAGTTACATGTAAGATGCCTTTGGATTTATTTCTACCCTTTTGCTTTTAACTAACTAACATCAGAAGATGGAAATATTTTCTTATTATAACTTGATCCTAAGACAGGCCAAATGATCATGGCAGAGAGGCAGTTATTTTTTTTTTAAGCATGCAGGATACTCATATAATAAAGATATCCAGACAAGGCCCACATTCTACATTTAGTTACCTAGCTTGTGCCAAACTACCCTTTCTGAGATATTTTTCATACTTAACCCATTAAGTTGTGAGTGTTCCACAAAGGATTAAGAATTGATACGTAGTTTTGCTACTGTTAAAAATAAGCAGCCATTTGGAAAAGCTGTGTTGAATTTGTGTCTTCACATAGCTTGCCTGCAAGTCTACAGGGGGCTCCAAAACTCTTCGCAGTGATCTGTTTTGGATTAAATTAGTGTAATGCAATTTACATCAAAAACAATTTATGAACATATCCATTTCTTTTTTTATACTCGATCAGGAATGAAGGAATGAAGGAAGGGAAGAAGGGAGGAAGGAAGAAAAGGATAATATTGCATTTATTCATTCATCATTTCTTTTTCCATTTTTAGACTATAATATTATTTCATCTGCTCTCACATGAATTATAATTAATAGCATTAATAAGGTGCTTAGCCTACACTGAAAGAAAATTAATGTTATTAGCCAGAGAGTAACTCTCTAGGGCATGTCACATGCAGTGACATTATAACTGTGAATGCTTTAAACCCCGAATTCTGTTATACACACATCAGTATGCAAAAGCAGCAGATATACATGGTCCCAAAGCTTATCCAGAGACTTTGTGTTTCATATTTTTGACATGGACTGTAATCATACTCTTCAGTATTGGTTTAACAAATCACAAACATGAAATATTCAAAGGAGTATTTTATTCATGTGTCTTGTATTTTTTTTCTCCTCCTAGCATGGAGATTTCCCTATAATTGAATTATTGACCAGTTAAGTAATTGATTCTCAATAAATAAACAAATGAAAAAGGAGTTTTCTTTTATTTAGAATTCCCAGTCTGAGTGGGCTTCTGTTTACTAGAAAGACTGTTCGTTGCTTTTTTCTCTTGCAAGTGGCAGATAAAGTCTTCTTTCTGATTCCAGCTGATCTCTCAAATCAGGAACAATATTTCCGTTGCATTTCAGAGACCACTCTTGATATAACTTTTTCATCACTGGTACCTGACAGTCCTAACTTCTAGTTTTACTTGTAACTTCTCTTCTACTCTTTTTTTGTTTGGTTGGTTTTAGTCTCCTACAAGGTTTTTCCACACACTTCCTAGTCAGCAGACAACACACTGCAAGTTTCTTTTAGAACTGAATTAAAGCTGGTGTTTCTTTACCTACCAGATGCCAAACATTTCTGATGTTGTACTACAATGCAGTTTTCCAGACACTCATTTTTTCTTCCTACAATTGTGTTGTCTTTAAGCAGAAGGTTTTGCAGAGTATTCTTATATCTGGGCTATTTTGTTCTTATTGCCTTTGCAAGTTACATTCATCTATGCATAAATATTAATTTCTGTCTAGTGAATGATAAAACCTTCCTTTGTGGAAAGCTTACAGTTTTAACTTTTTCAGCTTTTCCAGACAATTTTGTTTGACTTTCCTACTGTAACAGATTCAGAGGCAGTCCACAAAAATACTGGTTACTGACATCATCAGTACAGTGAATAAATTTAGTTTGTCTGACATAGTTGATGCATTAAGACTGGAATTTTCAGTGGAGGTTAATGGAAATAAGTACTCCTTTCAACTGGAGAAAAAAAAAAAAAGGAAAAAAAAAAAAAAAAAAGCTATATTATTCCTTCAGACTCCTTTGGAAATGCCAGCCACAACATTTTTTCATCATTCTAACAATGGAAGAGAAAGCAGAGGAACTAAACACATTTTCTACTTCCTGGAGCAAATATACCATCTGTCAACAAAGGATTCTTACAAGAAGACATAAGCAAAACCAAGTAAGCAGACCCCCAGCTGAAACAAAATTTTACGCTTGTACACCAGTAAATGAGAGACAAGGATCTGTTTCCTGATTAAGCTAACTCCACTGCCCACGATGCTCCTGTAATCAACTGGAATGGACAACACAGGAGGAAACCTGTGCATCTGTAAGAGCTGGTCAGAAGAAGAGTACTGTCTCAACCTCATCGCCAGGAACTTGGACAATAAGGTACCCAAAACTCAGGCTAACATCTTGACAAGAGTCTGTGGCGGCCTACCTGAGGTGCAGTTACCCATCCCTGGAATGGAATGGGGTTCCTATGGATACAAAGGTGCAGACACCCTGGGAGGGAGCCAGAACTGCATGGCATGAAGTGTCCTGTGCTGTGCCATGTACTGCCCTGTGCCATCCTGTGCTACTTGGGGAGCTGGAGCTGCTCAGCTAAACCGCATAGCTGCCATCAAGGAAGGTCAATCATAACTGCTGTCTCAGCACTGATGAAGAAATCACGAACTTTGGGTGAACTCTGCTCATTACAATATTATTATAATATGAAAACACACCTCCTGGTCAAAAGCTATCTGCCTCTAATGCAGACCACACCTCAAACACTCCTCCTTGAGCATGTGTGGAAGCCTCGCTCGAGAGAGGCGGAGACTGGCAGGAGTCCATGGGACGGACAGAGGAGGAGCAAGGGGCATCACCTGGCAGGAGAGATGGCTTCTTAGCAACCCAACTTGGGAAGCTTTCCCCACCGAGGATCACAATGAGCAGAAGGACCAGTGGGACACTGCCTGGACCTAAGACCATAGGGACACCTTGGACCCACAGTAGTAGCTATTACTCTCTTTCCCCTCTTTACTCTACCTCTCCTGTCACTCTTTCAACTACTGCACACCACTTTATGAGCAAAACAATAAAGTTTCACTATTTGATTGAAGTAAACCCCTCTTTGGCTTCCTCTTGCACTTCAAGATTGCAGCAAATCAACCACCATGTGTCCACTGAGTGGAGCGGACCATGACAGCATCTCCTCTGAGTTTGTTTGAAACCCCTCTGTTAAAATCACTAAATTTCTACCTCTGATCTATCCCAAGGATTTTTGTAATATGCTTCTGTCCTATGAATTGGTTTGTTTAACACATCTAAAAGCCTGTGGTCATTCTGGAACACAGCAGTGATTTTCAATCTGTTACCACCTCTGCATCATTAAATAGCCTGGAACAGCAGCATGTCAGCTGCCTTGTTTTCCAACCTGCTGTTCAAACCCTGGAGCCACTCTCCTGAAGGAGGCAGCAAAACGTAATGGCAGCAGCAAATGACCAATTAGGCTGGAAGAAACTATATATCATGGAACAGAAAAACAGTAAAATAAAACGCAGACAGTAAGACCAGCTAATGCTCAGTACCTGACTACAATGCAGACGCAAATAGAAACGACAACACATGCATACTTTCATCTAATGCATGCACTTGATTGACCAAATGCTGGTGGGCATTAATAAGTGATAAAGATTCAGGGTGTAATACAACTGGAACGAAAGCTACTCTCTCTGCACAAAACCTGATTTACAAAAGAATTTTTTTTTTTTTTTCTATTATCCTCCGCTCTGAAAACCCTTCCTAAGTGTTTCATAGTTTCCTACAAGGATTTTCCCCATTTCTGCAAATACAAGAGTGAATACATTACAAATCACTAAGTGTCCTGTGCATAGCTTCTGCAACTAGACTCCTTGACACAAAATATGCAAAGATGTATACATGATGTCTAACTGCACGTGCTTGCCTAGTTTAAAAATACGTATGCACAAAAGCTGAATATCTGAATGTTTATAGAAACTTAATATGGAAGAAACATTTTCTTGAAGAAAGTCAAGTTGCATTGAGTTGTACTGAGAACAGGATTGACTTGGCGTGTACAGGAAGGAGGAATGTAAGCTCATCTTTAGTTCCTAATACTGCTATTCTCCATCACAATTATTTTCAAATATTAGCTGTTTGTTGTTTTCACAGGTGATTATCTCTGGAATCAGAGAGTCACTCCAACACATCTAGAGATAAGTGAAGCCTGTTGAAAGATGTAATGATCAACTGCTTTCTAGTTTCAGAGAGAATGGAAGGCTCTGAAGGGCAATTTGCTTTTCACTGTTCTCCATGAAGAGAGGTGGACCTCACTTGAGTCATTTCACTAGTTCAGAAAACTCACTAAATTAATTAGCAAATTACTTTTGCCAACAGCACATATTGCAGTTACTTTATTTGTGAATATTTTCATACTGATATTCAGTGGTCACTTTGAAATTAGTATACTGTTTTATGAGGATAACCTGCAGGGGCCAGATGGCACCCAGAAGCTCATGGGGTTGGATTTAACTACTTTAAATGGCCACAGTTACAGTGTCCATATCTCTTCTAAGTCCATAGTGCATATACTATGTTCATAGTCAAAGAAGAGAGCAGGCATTTTTAGGGCACAATCGTTTTAGTCATAAAGTAGATATTACAAGAGATCAGATTACTGTGTTTTTCAGTTGACTGTTTCTTTCCCCTAAGTATAAAGGACAAGAATGTCAGATACATTATACACATCCAAATTGCACAAGTCTGCACTTGGTGGACATGACTAAGTCTTCCATAAATTGTCTCCATTGCTGTTAGAAGCACGTATTAACATACCTACACTCCAGTCCATTTCCTCCACTGCATCCCCATATAAACCATGCTTGCTCTTTCCTCTGAAGTTTTTTGAAGCATATAGAGCAGTATGGACATGAAGATAAGACAGAACAAGAAGAAATGGTGCATCAGTGTTCCTGGAAGAGAAAACAAAACAAAACCCGTAGTACATTTTATTACAAAATTTCTAGAAAGAAATCTTTCTACAGTAGGTCTCAAAACCCAAAAATATAAAAAAAAAGGCAGAAAAAGAATACTGCGACTGATTACAGGGTAATCCTGAACACACACACACACACACTAAAAATGCCATTCTTAAAAGCAAAAATAAGCAACAAAATCTAAGTAATTACTGTTTGCTCTATAGAGAAAGATGACTTTCAATATTTAGCAGTTTCTCGTTAGAAGCACCTCTCTTCATTTTACAAGTACATATTTAGAAGCCTGAATACAACTAACTGCTGTTCAAAAACATACATTCAGAGCTACATACATACATGAAACACAATTACCTTTCTCAAAGGACATATAGAAACTGATCAACTACACTGTTATGGAGTACCAGGGTCAAACATACTATATATTAACTACATAAATAAATCATACTAGTATTTTTCTTCCTTGTTTATTCTTGTCATTTAATGCCCTGTGTGTATATGCATGTGATCAGGACATAACTCTACAAGTATGTTGTACCAAAGAACAAGTAATCTCAAAGGATGTACTAATATAAAGATTTTTCCTGCCACAGTAATGAACAGTCTCCATTGTCTTCAGTCTATTTCCTGAACTGATGCAGAAGAAAGGGTGCAATAAATAGAGTCTCTGTAAATTTTGCTGTTCATGTGACCTGTCAACACAATATTTATGATCAGTTCCACCAGGCTGCGAAAGCACAGCTCAAGTAAAAATTTTTCCTTATGCATTATTTATAGAACTTTGCTTCAAATTGTGCAGTGCGACCCAAAGTTATTGCTGTATGCTCTAACAGCATTTGTAGTACATGATTGCATATTGTAAATAACAGTTGAATCACTACCCAGAAAACTTGCCTGGATCTCACCTAAAAGCACATAGCTAATTACAGAGTACTTGGGGGTTTATTTATCATATTTTACTTTGCCAATAGGTGGTGGATAATACCTGTGATTCATATCAACATCACAAGGATATTATATGTTTCGTTATGCTGTTGATTCATCCACCCTTTAAAGAGGGGAGGAACAATGTAGACATGTGCATACAACCTGTTTCTTTAAAAGGAAAAAAAAAAAAAAGGTCTAACCTTTACAGCCTGTAAACAAAGTCTTTTAATAAAAGGGATTAATCAGATACCAATAGTCTACTCTGCAGGAAAAATATCTAGGTTTAATGTAGTATATTTATGATCCATTTTTTTTTCTCCCTCCTTGGTTGGATCTGTTTTTACGCAAATTGCATGGTTAAAGCTTTCTTTTTTACTGACATATGGAGTAGTACATAAAGACAAAATGGGAAAATTGTATCCAGATTACTCACTTGACAAGTATGTTTCTGACTGGGACTTTTTCTTCACAAAGAGTTTCTCTTTTATTTTAAAAAAAATGACAGAATAAATAGAATATTTTTGATGTGTAAAATGGAAACAAAATTATTTTGAAAGATACACTTTCCATAAAGTTGTTTGTTGCTATTTGAGAGGTCATGCATGTGAGAACCTTTCATTACTTCAGCAACAAATAACATGAGACTCCTGAGTCAATTAAAAAGACTGAAAATAGCAGCACTTCAAGTAAAAAAACTATGTATAGTTATAAGTTTAATATTTAATATGTACATTAATGTAACACTGACCTTTCATTAAAGAGCATTTCTGCAAGGCAGCTGACTTTTGTTTTGCAACTTGCATTTTTTACTGCATAGGATTATCTTTGACTTTTCCCTTAAGCACAGTTCACTGAATTGAGAGTAATATACAAATTCTAGGGTAAAGTACCACAAAAATGTACTTTATACTTATAATGGTGTATGCACAATTTACTTTTCATGCAGACTGCCTTGCTCTAATATCACAGAGATAGTGCATATTTCTAAATGTACACCTGTATTGCTAAAAGTATTAAAAGCCTCCACGATAAATGTTATTTTCAAGAGATAATAATTCAGGTTTGTTTTTTGGTTTTGGTTGGGATTTTTTTTGTTTGTTTTTTGATTTTTTTTTTTTTTTTAATGGAACTGACACAAAGATCTAACTTTCATGAAGAGTGATCAAATCAATGATTGATATGGAATGGCACTACATTATTCTCTTCTTTGCAACTCAGATTGACAGGTTCTGATTGACAGCTCGTTGTCAGGTGAAGTGTCTCATCTATTAATATCCTATAAAACACCACAGGCAGCTATTTATCTCCTGCCAAAACTCTTTGAGAAGAACCATAACTGACTACCTTTACTGTGACCTTGAAAATGGAATGACAATATCAGCTGGTAGGCAGGAGAGAAATTTGACAATAACAGCTTAACTCCTGAACCACTTCAGTAAACAGCTTCTTCAAAACTGTATTGCCACTGTCTTTTGCACAGTTCAAACACAGGGAATTTCAGCTTCAAAAGATCTGAGATTCACTTACTAGAACATATATATTTTTTTTTTATCCTAACATGAATCACACACTCTTTTCAATTTACTGAGTAGCCAGAGAAGTTACCCACATCTGACATAAGACATTATTTAATGTGTATTTAACTGATTTTGAACACGTCTAAAAGTACCATGCTGCTAGTGACCTCTCTGCATTGCATAGTACTAGGTTCTTTTTTACTGTCAGGAATCTTTACATTATTCAAGGACTGAGTTCAGGTTTGAGCTGTAAAATAGAGATTTAAAGTGGGGAGAGGGTTAAGTTACAACTCATCTGACTTTGCTTCACACACAGGTGTTTTAACTTTTTTTCCTGCAGTTTTGCTTTACATGCTTGCTGCTTTGAAAACTCCTTGGGTAATTTTGTTGGCTTTTGTGTGTAATGATGTTAATCTAAGACCACTGCAGCAGAGTAACGCGTAGGGATCTGACTTTGCCTGCATTTGTCAAACTGATATTTTTGAGTATAATTCTGTACTGAAAACAAGATGGGAACATGGCATGACAAGAATCCATTTTCCTTTTTCACAAGAAATTCTATTTAATATGATGTACAAGTACAATCATTCTGAACAAGCTTTTTTTTTTTTTTTTCTTGCTAGATATGAAATTATCCTCACATTCCATCATAATTTTAATCTGCTGGACTACTGCACCCCCTATACCAGTGAAGGTACTATGATTCACAGCAGCTGACTATAAAAGTAGATTCACTTAGCTTTGCCTAAGCTGGGCAAACACTGTGCTTTGTTAAAATTGGCTTAATAATTGTTTCTGTAAACCCCAAAGTCATATAACTCCAGCTAATTCACCCATAAGACTGAAATAGCCTGAAAAAAAACCCCACATTTAAAACAGATATAGGGGCAAAAATATATTACCTCTTCTAAGGATAATTATGTATATTTAATCAGACTTATTGAATCTGTATGACTAGGTCATTTTCACAGAGTCAAAGTTAAAATGAAAGAAAACAAAAAATGTTAAAGTATAGAATCTGAAGATATATTTTCAGCACAAATATGTAGCAGTGTGTTGACACAGGCAGATGCAAACCTAACTCTTCCTTTCCTGTAACTCTCCTTTTACTAAAAACAATCTTCTTATTCAACATCCCCGACAGTGGATAAATTCTTTCAATGCTTATTCCCCATGGCTCCCTCCTGTACTTCCACATTAGATCACCAGTTAGACAGTGCTCTTTGTTGACAGGAGTGCCTGAATGCACTTCATTAAGCATTCTTGTTCCTGTAAAAGGAAAAGGTAAACCTTGGCTTAGTTGTATCAAAGCAGGACTTTGTCCTATAAGATGGATTTTGTTTTGTTCTGATCACTAACAGGGCTAAAAATCCTTGTTCAATGAATCCATGAATGAATAGTTCGGTCTTACTCTTTTAACAGATACACCTTAAAACACAGATCCCATAGTTTCAAAGTTTTTTAAAATCAGAAAAGAGAATTCCAGATGACTTGGGGGTAACTTATCAAAACTAGAAAAGGTATTGAAAATGGAATGAGAAAGGGGAAAAAAAAATAAAATATGGAAAATCTGATTCTGTCTAGAAGACATTAAAAGCAGGATATTTTACTACAAGATCTGTATTTGTGAAATGATTCATGCAAATGGACAAGATGCTTTCAACATCTCTAAATTCATGTCTACTTCTTCTTAAGAAAGCTTAAGGTATGCAACATCTTTTATTTCCTTTCTACATAATCTTTTTTCTCCCTTTTAAAAAGTACATTCTCATAAGCATAAGGAGAAAAACAAATCTCATGCGCTACAAATTATACTTATTACTAAATAACTCTCCCCTGCAAAGCTTTGGAGCCCAGTAACCAGATCTAATGCTTTTTGCACTCATTCTGTTGATAATGCAGTATTGTCACTCATTGCAGAACTAGCTAGGTCCTTAATTATTATTCAATTACTTAAATCTTTCCTTTTCAGGTGTCCTAAAGTATATGAATTCATAGCTTCTTCCTGTTAGCTTTTTGTTCAAAACCAAGCAGAGATCAGAGGAAAAAGGATGAAGATCGAGGAGAGTTATTGCTTAGAAGTTACTACCCTTTTTTAATATAAGTACACATACATATCATGTGTATACAAAGATACACAAACCCTTCTCTATAATTTGTATTGTGCTGTAAACTATAAGGAATATTGTTGTAGGATTCATAAAAGCACTTGATTTCATAACCCTAACGCAAACATAACATGCCAACTGCCTAATCTTAAGACCTAGGTATCTATGAAAAAGTCTAAACTACAGTCTGCTAAAGCAGATGAAAAAAATACCCTGAGTATGTGTTGTAAGTGTTTCAAGCACTGAAAAAGAATAAATAGAAAGAAAAATAAAACCAAATTGTTGTCATAAAATCTTGAATAGTATGGCTCTGCAATCTATCACTGAAAAAAAATTCCATGAAAATACAACTTCATCTTCACCATAGCTTTTGAATAGAAACATGTTCATATGCAAATACTGTTTCCCAGAAATTATATTTCATTAG